AAAAAAAAAAAAAAAAAAAATTAAGTAGAGCTGTGTTCCAATAAACCGTTCTTTACGTACACCGAAATCTGGATTTCGCATGACAGAAAATACGATTCTATTGATTTTTCTCAACTATTTAAAAATAGAGCCAACAGAGCCAGGTGCAAGAGCTCTTGCAGTTCCAGCTACTCAGGAGGCTGAGGAAGAAGGAATGCCTGAGCCCAGGAAGTAGAGGCTGTGGTGAGCTGTGATCATGCTACTGCATTCTAGCCTGGGTGACAGTGAGACTTCGATTCACAAAAAAAAAAAAGAAGGCCGAGCGCAGTGGTTCATGCTTATAATCCCAGCACTTTGGGAGGCCAAGGTGAGAGGATTGCCTGAGCCTGCATCTCTTAAAAAAAAAAAAGAAGACGACGAAGAAAGAAAGAAACAAAGAAAAGAAAAACCACTGTTAGTTTATCGTGGAGCCAGACAAAAACAGGCTGTGGACAAGATTTGGCCAGTGGGTATCACAGTTTGCTAAACCGTCTCCTATACAAAAAAGAAATATCCTACCCTAAATGCCAAGAGTTGAGAAGACCTGTAGAACTCCTAAAGAGTATTTCTATAGAAGTACATACTTGTATTATCAAGTTTTCTACAGTTTTCTCTGAAAATGCAAGTCAAATGTATAACAACAATAAAAAATTATGTTCAATAACTTAGTGGGACCAAGTACGCTAAACAATATGCTATCTTTTAGTATCTTAACTTTTTTTTGAGTCAGGGTCTCACCCTGTCTCCCAGGCTGGAGTGCAAGGGCACAATCACAATGACCATGGCTCATGTAACCTCAACCTCCCGGGCTCAGGCGATCATTCGACCTCAGCATCCCAAATAGTTGGAACTACAGGCACGTGCCACCATGTATGGCTAATTTTTAAAAAAAATTTGTATAGAGACAAGGTTTTGCTATGCCTTAAAGTCTTATCGTTGAAGACTTCATTTCTCTTAACCAAACTCTTAATTAGGAATAAAGTGGCAGAATGTAGAGGTTTTATTCCCTAGCTAGTTCCTGGAGTACATATTCTCTAGGCAGGACCATGGGATTTCAGCCAGGCAGATGAATTTGTTGGATATCTTCTTAAAATCAGAAAAGTAACCAGAGCTTAGAATTTGATAGTCATCCACTAATGTATGAGGATAAAGCCAATAGAGCGAATGTGGGTGGATTCAAAATTTTTTCTTAGAAAATTATTTTAAGTCTACTCTAACACAAGGATAAAAAAGGTAACAAAAGTCCTAAAGTATTTTTTTCAAATACTTTACATGAAATTGACAGAACATAAAATTAACCATTTAAAAGCAAAAAGTTCAGTATTACTTAGTACATTTATAATGTTATGCAACTACTACCATCTAGTTCTAAAACACTTCCATCATTTGAAAGTAAAACCCCTTACTATTCAGTCAGTAGTTCTCTCCATTTTCCTCTTCTTTAGCCACTGGCAAACACCAGTCTGTGTTCTGTCTCTACAGATTTACCTATTCTGGATACTTCATATAAATGGAATCATACAATATGTGACCATTTTTGTCTAGCTTTTTTCACTTATGTTTTAGAGGTGCGTGCACGACACAGCATGCATGCATCAGTACTTCTTTTCTTTTGTTACTGAATAATATTCCATTGTATGTATATATCACAATGTATTTATCCATTCACCCATTCATAGACATTTGGACTATTTCCATCTTTTGACTATTGTGAACAATATTGCTATGAACATGTGTGTGCATGTACTTGTTTGACTTCCTGTTTTCAGCTCTTTGGGGCATATATCTAGAAGTGGAATTGCAGGCTCATATAGTAATGTTTAGTATTTTGAGGAACAGTCAAACTGTTTTCCACAGCATTGACTCATTTTGCATATCTACTAGCAATATACAAGGGTTCCAATTTCTCTACATCCTTGTCAACCTTTTTTTTTTTTTTTTTTTTGAGTTGGAGTCCACTCTGTCACCCAGACTGGAGAGCAGTGGCACGCTCCCGGCCACCGCAGCCTCAACCTGCTGGGCTCCGGCGATCCTTCCCCCTCAGCCTTCCAAGTAGCTGGAACTACAGGCGTGTTAGCACACGCCTGGCTAATTTTTTGATTAATTGTAGAGATGAAGTCTCACCAAGTTGCCCAGGCGAGTCTCGAACCCGCGGGCTCAGGCAATCCACTCACCTCAGCCTCCCAAAGGCATGGGATTACAGGCTGAGCCACCAAGCCTGGCTTATTTTCCTTTTTTTAATAGCCATCCTAGTGAGTGTGGAGTGATACCCCACTATGATTTCAACTTGCATTTCCCTAATAACTATTAATGTTGAGCATCTTTTCATGTGTTTGTTAATCATTTTATCTTCTTTGGAGAAATGTCTATTCAACTCTTTTACCCATTGTAAAATTGGGTTGTCTTCTTATTGCTAAGTTGTAGAATATATATTTATGGATACTAAATCCTTATTGAATATATGATTTGCAAATAATTTCTCCCATAGTCCTAAAGTTTCATACCAGTGATTTTTAATCTTTTTCTAGGCATAATAAGCTTTTAAATGTCTTTGTCTTATATTTCCACATACAGAACTCCAATAAAACATATAAAAGACAAAACTGGAGCTACTTCAACAGAAGAAGAATAATCTGAAACCCTGATTACTTTTGGTGTCTTCCTGTAGCAAGTTCCACAAAACTTGCACAAAGCAGATGAAATATGAACAAAATGTGTTTTCCACAGCACTGAATCATTTTGCACAAATTTTTATCTGCACAAAACACAGTGACACAAGAGACACTGTTCTATGCCAAAAGTCTTAGACATTCTGATAAAATATTTGAAACTTGTGGGGTATGTGTACCAGGAAGGACTGTTAATGTCCACTTGTCCCAAATCTATATCAGGGCTATTAACAGTGCAGAAATACTTTGAATGCACCTACCATACTGCCATTTAAAAATAACAGAATCTGAAATAAGGATCTTAAATCAAATTATCACAAAAGGCAGAAGGGAGATAGTCGAGATTGGTTAATGGATATTAAAGTACAGCTAGACGGGAGGATAAGTTATAGTGTTCTATAGCACTATAGGGTGACTACAATTAACAACAATTACAATTAACAACAATTAATTGTAGATTTTCAAATAGCTAGAAGAGTGGATTTTGCATATTTCCAACACAAAGAAATGTTACATGTTTGAGGTGACGAACATGCGAATTACCCCAATGTGACCATTACACATCGAATACATGTATCAAAATATCACACTGTGTCCAAATATGTACAACTATCTTGTGCCAATTAAAAATAATACAAATAATCTATTGCAGCACACACTCAAAATATTTTGGCATGGTATAATTATAGTTGAGTGAGCTTATTAGAAATAAATAGACACTTTTTGAAGTTTAAAAAAAGGCAGCAGAGATGTAAGCATTTTGAGAGTATCCTATTTCATTAGAAATATCATTTAATGTAAAATAATGCAGGATCAACTATTTTTTTTATTCCTTCATGCATTCATTCATTTACAGAGATGAGGTCTCACTATATTGCTCAAGATAGTCTTGAACCCAAGAGATTTCCCACCTCGGCCTCCCAAAGCACTGGGATTGATTACAAGTGTGAGTCACCACACTTAGCCAAGCATCAATGATATTTAAAAGCACACATTGACAACTCCAGTAGGGATAATTTGTACTGAGCTATTATCTCTACACATGATACCATCACACATCTAATGACCAAATGATAGTTAGGGTTGGCTGGCTGAACGTAGTGACTCACACCTACACCTGGCACTTTGGGAGGCTGAGGCAGGATTGCTTGAGCCCAGGAGTTCAAGTTCAATTTTTATTTTATTTTATTTAATAAAATAAAAATTTAAAACAGAAGTCACAGGTATTAAAAGGGGGTGGAAAGCTGGCTGCCATGTATAGTAACAGAAAAGAATGCTATCTGGCCTGCAAACTTGAGTCACAACAAAGGTACACAAAAAATTAGATAACTGGTCTACACATCCAGGAAAAATAATCCTTTCAATAATACATTAGGACTTAAGAAATACCATATATGTGTTTAAAAAAAAAAAAAAAACCCCAAACAAATAAAAAATCTGAACTAAGTTTCCGGAATTTCGAGTGCATACTACGACTACTAGCAATGGTACAGCATCCACAAAATGCAAAGGACTTTCAAAGAATACAAAGTCAGTACTATTGGCTTATTTATTTCCCACATTATAACCTAATGCCTATTTCTGAGAGTATTTCAAACTTGTGGATAAAAACAACTTTGTGAAAATGTTTTACCTCTTCTTCCTCAATTTCAGAAGGGTTAAGTTCATGTTTTTGACAGTAAGGACCCTCTTTCCAAGCTTCAGTATCACCACAGTCACAGAAACCTCCACCTCCTGATGTTGTCATCTTGAAAAAAAATTGTAAAGTATCTTGTCAGTAAGTATTTACTGAGGGCTATTAGTTAATAAATAAGAATATTAAGTGCTAATGAAGTAACATTAAGTACTTAATTTCTTTGGAAGCATAAAATTAAGTAAAATGTCAAACCTCAATGCTTATTTTAAATAAGCCTAGAAGCTAATCTAAATGATTTTGAAATAAAATAAGCCAATCTGTAGTGTTGGCTAAACTACAGATATTTTAAGATGATATGTCTGCCTACAGGACTTCCTTAATTTGGAGAATCATGAGGCTCATAAGGGATTTCCTGGTAGGTTTTGGCTAAATTAGCATAATGTTGGTACCTACGCTACCAGGTTGTGATACTATAATATAAGATACTTAAAGGTTATAAAGATTCCTATAGCTGCTATTCCCTAGAAGAGTCTAAGAATAATGCTTTTGCTTTAGAGAAAGTAACCAACAAAGACTATAAAATAGTTTGTTTTTCTTTAACACTTCCTAAACAACCGCTTTTTGAAAAAACAGGTCAATAGGGGCTCAGAAAACAAAGAAGTAGCCTGCCTGATAATACAAATTTTTCACCACCCGCAAGGTTCAGAAATTATTGAAACTTCCTTAAGATATGGCAAGATTCAACAAGTATGGCATGACATAACCTATTAGTTAATAATTGGTAGACTAGAAATCCTGCTTCTCTTAAAATACTATGGGGAAGAGTTTATAAATGGTTATTAGATGCAGCAAATTTTAGAATGAATCCTAATATATTCTGCTCAAAGTAAGTATTCATGTTATATATTACGATATGATTTATGTAATCCCACAAATGACAGTTATTCCTAGGGAGGCAAAGATATATGTCAAGAAAGGTGTGTAGGCACCATTTAGAAAATGACATGTGCTTGTTCTGGTTACCAAACACAGATGTAGAACAGCTTATAGGAAACTGTGCTTCTCTTACTCATTTGTGAGACTAACAAAAACATACAAGAATATAAAGATCTCAATTTTGCAGTCGTTTTAGTTCATTATTATCAACTCTTGGGTAGATTGAATAAAAACAAATAGGAGGAAAAGTTCTGACCCAGAAAGGTTCCTGAATTAAGAACAAGATTAAAATATTCTAGAATGAAAGGGCTTAATGAAAAAAACTAAAATATTCCTTCCCTACCCTTCTATTTTATGATCAGGGTGAAAAGTTCAATCTAATTACAGTTCCCTGACCTTTGAGTCGTCATGGTCTGTCTTCAATTTCCAGTAGAGAAACCAGGACAGGCTTAGGAATAATCTGCCTCTATCTGTATCCCTGATTTAAAAGCAAACAAACATATCTAATTTTTTGAACAGTACTGACTGCATTACAGCAGTGAAAAAATAATACATCAGTGGAGTAGACCTTCCTACACTGTAGTAGATGCCTCTTTAATAAACATTTTTAAAAACAGCAAAGCAAAAGCAAACTAGTTGAAAACCAATATGAAAGAGCTAATATCTATATTATCTTTTTTAAACTATATGCTCCAAGAGATGTAAATTCATAATTCATTTCTATATTGCCATCATATGTTTAACGATATTTAAATTAACACATTGTTTAAGCCACTCTCCATTTCAATGTCAAATCTTTGAATTTTAAAAAGAAATAAAAGATTTTTAGCATAAAATTCAAAACTAGGCATGGTTATTCGGACATTACTAACCCTATATCGATGATCTCTGTGAATACTTCCCAAAAAGCACTCCATGCATAAAACACAAGTTGGGTCAACTGCACAGTCTCTGTAAAGTTAAAGAAAAAAAAAAAACCAGAGTGTCATAAAGTAACTACATATTTCACAACAGAATATTTCAAATTGGAACCCATCCCAAGAGAACCAGAATAATGGAGTTTCTTGGTGTTGTAAGAAAAGAAATATTCCCCCAAATCTGGCAAATCTTTAACCAATGAAATCAGTATTAAGGATCTGCTTCTCATAATGAACGTGTGTGTACTAGTGAGTATTTCAAGGCACATATTATTAGAATGGTAAATTTTTCCACAGATTTGGGTAATCACATTATATACTAACACACAAATATATATGGAATAGATTCAAAATATGATTTTCAAAATGGGATTTCAAATAACTTCCTCCAAACAGGTGTTTGAGATCAAGGGTCTTCAAAGTGATATGTATGCACCTCTAGAAAGGCAAGAATATCAACTGAGATCCAAGAAGACAATATTAGAACCTGTATTTCTACTTAAATTTTCTCTAAAAGGGGAAAATAAATATTCTACATGTTCAGTAAACAGACTGACACAGGTTTCCTCACTCTGACCCTATGTTTCGTATCCACAGAACACACAGGGTCCATGAGACATCCTGATGGGAAATTAAGAGTTCCAAAGGTTGGCCGTGGTGCCTTCAGTTGTTTCATCTGCTTCCATCATACTGCCAGTTAGATGCATTCATAGATAACATCTCAAATAAGACAATTTCTTTAATTGCATGAAATGAAATGGGACGTGTAAAATAAATACACATTGATCTCTGTCCCTGGCTTCTGACAGAGGTGCAAAGAGAGTTTCTAACTTTTGATCTTTGACCCCAGTACCAGACAGAGTTCCTAATCCCTTGGAATTTCTTGGGTGATATAAGAGTTTTTTGTTCTAATGAGATGACTGATGGCTGGGGCCTATAGGATAGCCTCAGGATGGGGGCTGGCTGCCAGGGGAACCAACCATGCGATTAAAGGGTGGAAACTTTTGGTCTCACTCTCATCTTTGAGGAGGAGAGAGGGGCTGATGATTTGAGTTGATCAGCAATGGTCAATTATATAACCAATCCTATCGTGCCTATGTAATGATGTCTCCATAAAAACCCCCAAAGGACTGGGTTTGAAGTGCTTCTGAATTTCTGAACAAGTGGAGGTGCCTGGAGAATGGTGTGCCCAGACAGAGCAAGTGAAGCTTTGCTCCCCTTCTCTCAGGCCTTGCCCTGTGCATCTCTTCCATCTGGTTGTTTATCTGAATCCTTTGTAATATCCTTTATGAGAAGTGGGTAACAAGTATTCCTCTGAGTTTTGTGATCTGCTGTAGTAAATGACTCAAACTTGAGGAGAGGATCACCGGAAGCCCCAATTTACAGCTGGTTGGTCAGAAGTATAGGTGACAACTTACTATTTGAGATTGGACTATGAAGTAGGAGGCAGTCTTGTGGAACCAAGCACCTGACCTGTGGGATCTGATGCTATTTCCAGGTAGACAGTGTCAGAATTGAATTGAATTAAAGGATATTCAGTTGGTGTCCAATGGAGAATTGCTTGTGTGTAGGGAAAAGTCCCTTACACACATCTGGTGTCAGAAGTGTCCGGCACTGAGTGTTGTATACGAAACATTTTATTCCTCTATTGTCCTGGTGAGGGACACCTGGAGTACTTCCAGTGCTCTTCTACCACAAATAATGCTGCAATATGAACATTCCTGAAAATGGTCTCTTATGGATGTTTGAGACTTTTCTTTGCATACAAGTTAAACTAAGCTATTCCCAAACATTTATTCTTCCACACAGTAATTAAGATACGTTTACAGAGTTCCTAAAAAATATTCAACTAAAATTTTGACAGATTATTTGGAATTTATTGATAAATTTCAAGACTATGAACATTCTTATAAGAGCAAGTTATTATGTCCATGATTATTTCCTATGTCCTTTATTTGTGTTTTAAAGTTTTTTAAAAAATACGAGTTCTCTGTATTCTTGATTTGATTAACATCTAGGTACTTTCTCGATTTTGCTGTTTTAAAATATTTTTTAAATCTCATTTTCAAGTTGGTTAAGACTGGTTAAAAGAAATAGTTGTGTTTTTTTTGTTGTTTGTTTTGTTTTTTAAGTACCCTTGATGAACTCCAGGCAGTTCTCATAGTTTTTTATTTTGCTGTGGCTATTTTTTTCTAAGGTAAATGAATGTATAGTAGTATACAATGATAATTCTGTTTTTCCCCCTTTTTTTTTTTTTTTTGAGTTGGAGTCTCACTCTGTCGAGTGCAGTGGCCACTCCTGGCCACCGCAGCCTCGACCTGCTGGGCTCTGGCGATCCTTCCGCCTCCGCCTTCCAAGTAGCTGGAACTACAGGCTACCATACCCGGCTAATTTTTGATTTATTGTAGAGATGAGGTCTCGCCAAATTGCCCAGGTAGGTCTCGAACCCGCGGGCTCAGGCAATCCACTCACCTCAGCCTCCCAAGGATTACAGGCTGAGCCACCGAGCCCGTCTTGTTTTTCCCTTCTAATATTTAGACTTATTTCTTTCTTCCCTTACATTATTCACAAGAACCTTGTAATATGTTATACAACAGCAATAATAGTAAGAGCATCCCTGTCTTGCTCTAGATCTTAAAATAAACACAAAAGGCTCTCAATTATTATGTTCACTGTAGGTTTACTAAGAAAGTAGCCTTCTAGAAAGTATGGAGTATTTGTCCTTTCCTATTTGAATTGTACCTGAGGGTAATCAAAGAACTGATGAAAGATTGTTTTTCTTTTATAGAAGTTTAACTAATAAACAAAGATGACAAATTAGAATACCACCATTTTGCTACTCTTAATGAAATAATGATTGAGGTAACCTTTATAGTAGTTTCATCTGCCAGGTACCTAAACTCACTCAACACTCTTAGAACAAGAGCAGTCAAGCATCATGTGCCTCTGATATGAAGAATTTAAAAGTTACAAATCAATAGTTATGAAGTGATCACTCCTATGCAAAACACAAACCACAGAATTCAAGCAAGCCTAATTATAAGGAATAAGGAAACACGTTAAGCAACATCATGGGGACACAATCAGCCAAATCTATAATGTGGAAAATTCCAAAGGATAGATGAGTAGGTTTCTTAGTCACAGGGGAAAAAAAAAAGAAAAAGAAAGAGAGGCTCTATCATAGATGAGAAAACACGAGGCACAGCAGGCAAATGCCACATGTGAACTTTGAATTCACACTTATGAGTCAATTAGGACAATTTCAATTCTGGCTAGATATTAGATTATTTTAAGAAATTAATGCTAGCTTTTAATGATGTTAGGAGCTGTAGAGAAAAAAGCTACATACTGAGCATCTACCAATAACTGGGCATAATGTCTGGAATTTGCTTCAAAATAAAGTAGTGGGGCAGAAAACAAGTAGGTGTGCAGTACAGCATACACCAGTAAAGAGCTGCTCTCTGTGTAAATGCTGAAGCTGAGCAACAAGTACACATCCAGGATATCATCCCATTCACCTTACTTTTATAATGTTTAAAGCTATCCATGATAGAAGGTTTTGAAAAATCTAATATGCAAATAAACAATAAAGTTGCTCCTTACATACACTGTTAAGAATTTATATAACAAATAACTACTGAAATTTACAAAATGCTTTTCTGAATGAAGAAAAAATATTTTTTCTTCTTTCAACTATTAAAATGGTAAATTAACAATTGTTAAGAAGATGAACTAGCTTTGAATTCCTAAACTAAATTCCATTTCATCATGCTATATTACTTTTTAGTAGTTTTTTGGATTCAGAGGGCTAATACTTCATCTAGGATCTTTTCATCAATATTAATAAGGGAAATGGCTTTAAATGTCTCCTCTTATATTGTTTTTATCAGGGTTTGGAATCAAGACTATACTAGCCTCATGAAAAGGGAGCTTTCACACCTTTTCCAGTTTCTATAGTAACCTGTATAAGAAAGGAATTGATTATTCCTTCAAAATTTGGTAGAACTCACCTGTACAGTCATACAAATATGGCATTTTTGGGATACAAGATCTTTGACTGCCATTGTAATGTTTTTCATACTGTAGTCAAGTTTTCCATAATTTTTCTACTTTAAGTTTTTTAATTTATTAGTATTTAGTTGTTTATAATTCTTTCAGGGATTCTAAAAATGTCTTGGTTCAAAGCACATTTTTTTTTATGGCACTTCTAGACCAAAAGAAATATTTTACTGTTCTGTTTATCAAATAGACTTAAACAACTTGGCACCTGATAAGCACTGCACACTTCTCAAATCTTAGAATCAGATTAGGCACCGCCACCATCACTTCCATTGACTTTTCTTTTTCTTTTTCAGTCAGAGTCTCACTCTGTTGTCCAGGCTGGAGTACAGTGGCACACTCATGGCCACCACAGTCTTGACCTGGGTTCAGGTGATCCTTTCTCCTCAGCCTTCCAAGTAGCTGGAACTACAGGAGGGCACCACCACACCCGACTAATTTTTTGATTTATTGTAGAGATAAGGTCTTGCCAAGTTGCTCCAACTGGTCTAGAAACCCTGAACTCAGGCAATCCTCTCATCTCTGCCTCCCAAAGTGCTGGGATTATAGGCATGAGCCACCACATCTGGCTTCATTGATTTTTCACAAGGTATTTGTTTTTTAATCATAGCAATGCAGAGAACCCAGCCTCGCAATATTTGACATCATCAAAAAAAAAAATAAAAAATACAATGTACTTCTAGTTTTCATTTTTATTTTTGTGTATTTGTACCTTCTCTTTTTCTTAACCAGTCTCTCCAGAAATGTATCATCTTTACAATTCCAAAGACTCGGTGTTTCAACTTTTTACTTTTGTTTCATTTTTTGATCGTGTCTATCTTTCTTCTTGTTTCATGGAGTATGCTCTATGGTTCTTTTTTTTAATTTTTATTTTTTGAGTCGGAGTCTCACTGTTGCCCAGACTGGAGTGCAGTGGCCACTCCCGGCCACCGCAGCCTCGACCTGCAGGGCTCCGGCGATCCTTCCACCTCAGCC